GGGAAAGATTTATACAGTTTTGTACCAGCTTAGAGTCTGCATCAAATCTGTCTCATAGTTATGCCACTTCTTTCTGATGCCATTACAGATCCAGTTCTGGAAATTATAGAAGAAGTGAGAAATTGAGCTTTTCTGTTTTCTGTTCTGTAATCCAGAGATAGGTCTTAACTCATGATCAGAACTCTCCAAACTTTGAAAGAGTTTTGGTTGATTCCAGATTTCATCCCTGCCCTTCATTTCCATAAATGGCTAAACCAAAATCCTAGATATAGATTCATCCAAAACACTCGATAAGTTTGCTTTTGGACCCATATTTTGTGTCTTGAGTTTATCTTCTAGTGTCACATTGCATTTCATGGTGCTAACTATAGGAAGTGATTGTACAAAGAGACCATACAATGCAAATTGAAGTTTTGAACTGGAGTTGCATCTCCTCAGAGTCTAACCAAACCATCATTTGATGAAGTTTTGCGGAGCAAAATAAATATTGGTAAATTTTATCCCAGTCTTTTGAGCCTTTCTGTTTCTTAGTACAGTAACTGGCTCCAGTCACCATTGTAGTTACTGACCAAATACTGTATTTCCTCGAATCATCAAAGACAGGGTTTCCCACCACATTCAGTATGGAGGGGGGAAAGCCTCTTGTCTTAGATTTAAGTACAAGGCAGGAGTGGTGGCTGCAACTGAGCCACAGCCCCTGCCCTGCCCCTGTCTGCTGCCCACCTACCCTTCCCCTGCTGCTGCCATTTGCCTTCCCCTTGTAGCTCCAGCTCCAGTCAGGGCCCTGCTCTGGCCGGGGGGAGGAAGCACAGAGCAATGGTGGGGACAAATTTAAGACAACCCACAAAAAATTAGATTCTAGACTTGGAAAATGATAACAAATGTATAAATTTTCCATGTTTTTATATATATATATATATATATATGACTTGCAAAATTCCATTTAAGATGAGCGGTAATTGGCTGTCTGTTGACGTGTCCATTAAGGCTGGAAATGGAACACTCTCCCTCCTCCCTAGTGTTCAGGAGCCATGAGGTAAACTTCTGTTATTGGGTAAATAAAATAATACTGTTCAATCCTTACAACATATTTTACCTGTTCAAAGCACTGTAAAATGAAATAGAGGATTTTGGTCTTTGAGGCCATCAAACTTGCATCTTTCCCCAGCCAAAGATTCTCTTGCATTTATCCACAAAAACCAAATAGATTTCCCGTGTCTAACCTCAAAATCTTGATGGTATTTTTAACAGGAATATGATGAAGAATGGGCTAAGAAGATTCAGAGTGAGAAATTCCGATGGCACAACTCTCAGTGGCTGGAGATGGTAGAGAGTCGGCAGATGGATGAGAGTGAGCAGTACTTGTATGGGGATGACCGTATTGAGCCCTACATCCATGAAGGGGATATTTTAGAAAGACCTGACCTTTACTACAATGCAGGTGAGATAATAGTATGTATTCAGTAACTACCCAGCACTGTAATACTGGTATGTGAGAGCAAATCCTCAGCCGATCCTTGACTGAAACTATGCTAATTACAAGTAGGGATCTGTCTCCCTAGCACAGTGATTCTCACAAGGTGCTGCAGCACCCTAGGCTGCTTTGAGATTGTTTCAAGCAATGTTAGCATTGTTAGCTATGCAAACATGAGTCACAAGATAAACCCAGAGATTCCAAATACACATCCATAACATTAAAAACATTTTGACTCGTTGTCTTTCTTGAGTTCTTCGCAACAGAAAAAAATCTGTATCATTTTTCCATGGTGGAAAAACAAGTGAATACTAAGACCTGGCATTTTTGAGGAATGCCTTGTGTCTAAATGAAGGGTGCCTTGAGTCTAAAAAGGTTGAGAATCGCTGCTCTAGTATTATATTATGTTAATGAGAGACTGCAGTGCACCCATCACTTTAAAAATGTTCTAGAGCTCATGGAAATTCAATAGATCCTTAAAGAAATATCAGTCTACTTTAGCTGGATCATAAATGCTGCATAAAATTATCTTGTTCTTATGCTTCATACTTGCTTTTTTGTCTATATTTTGCTTGCTTTACAAGTGAAAACCAAACCTGTTTTCTATCCCTATGAGCCTTTCATAGTAATACAGCTAAGGGAGTTGAAGCTGGATTTTCTTGCACCTTGTGTGTCTGTTAAGTTCCAAGTCTGGAATACTTATTACAAAAGGTGATGTAAGACACGGAACCCTGCTGGACTTGCAAATTGCTAATGGAGTCTGCTTTACTGCCAGCTAGAAACATCAGCTTATGACTTAGTATGAAAGCCATAGACAGAGAATAGTTATCTAGGCAGCCTTGTGATAGCCCTGTTGAGAGTTTCTTCTCTAGCACCTCACTTGAAAGATATCTTTTTAACTGTGGAACCTCCTTTTCTTCACACAGCTAAACCATTTATGAAAAAGTGGCACCATATTACTTATTAGACTTTGGTGTCTGTGTGTATTTGGAGTCAGAGTGTCTACACATGTAGTCTCTGTTTTTACTCATATTAGTGATACATAGCAGTGGGGTATTGGGAGATGGATTCTGTTCTGTCTCATGCATTGTTCCAGATGTTGCTATCACAGTTTAGTTAGGAACGTGGGACCTGCCATATTGGATGAATGCTGAATCCAGTCCAGTATCTTTTCTCCAATGCTGGTTCTTGCCAGCAACTTTAATTGAAGGTACGATATACCCTTCAGGAGGCAATTATAGAACAACTTGCCTACAGGATAAATTTCTTTAACACACATTGAGAGGCTGAATTTATGCTCTGAGGCTTGACAGTTTATATATTTTCCAAAACTCTTGGTGGAGTATGTGTGTGCATGGTTTTCCTAATCTTTAATGTTGGGTCTGGTTATATTCTTATTTTCCATATAAATATCCAGTCTTTTGTTAACAATGTATGAGTCAGAAAGCTCAATTTCAGAACACAAGAAAAATTTGAAAGAATTGTGGTATAACCACCCCTCCAACCTTTTAGACTGTTAACTGGTCAACATTATCATGAGTCACTGAGAGAATAAACATGAAGCTCCCAATGCCCATGTTATAGTTACTCTGCAAAGTATATCGACTCTTAAGTGTCCTTATTTACAGATGTGCTATTGTGCGTCAGCCACAGCAATAGTCATACTTGGATATACTTTCTTCTTCTGGACTCTTTCTATTTGATTGTACTAAGCTTACAAGACTAACACCTTCAGCAGTTCAAATGTAGCACAGGGTTATTTTTTGGAGTGGAGCTTTTTTGTACTTTGAGTAAAAAAAAAAAATGTGAAAAGGTTCCTGTTGTAATCTCTTCTTTCCAGAGTTTCCTTGTTTCTCTGAACCACTTCTTTTTCCAAGTAGTGTGGGTTAGGGATGGAGTGTGTCACCAGTACCTTTGAATTTTACTGTCTTTTAATCAGTAGTGTTACAGACTTAACATTATTTGGACAAAGATTTTTGTGTTGGAATTGATATTTGACCAGGGAAGGAGGGGCAGATTCCCAGTGATATATTCTACAGATGTCTGAGAAGTCTTTCTGTTTTTAAAAGGTATAAAAGTCAGTGATTTATATTTAAAGTACAGATTCACTTTGCAGTTTTCTTCTACCAAGTGCCAGCATTAGTGTGTTCTTGGGCTCCGTTAGATTTATACTTTTGAAATGTGGCCAGTGGGGACATGCTATAGCTTTGAAAAAACTATGGATTATTATACCAACTGGAATCTTTTTTTTTTTTTAGTCATTTGGATTCCTTCAGGACAGGCCATTATTTATTCTTAGGCCAAAAGTACAACATTTCATCCAGTCAGAAACCCTTTTATTTATGCAAGTACAGTATACTTTTTCAGGGTGACCTGCTCCCTGATTGGTAGAAGTTCAATACAGAACTTTTTTCTTGACTAGTAAGAATTCTTCAGTTCACTAATGGCATGATGGGTTGCTATTACTGTGCTACCCCAGGCTGCTTCACACAAAATGATTAAACCTAAATCAATAGATTGGCAGAATCTAAAGAATTTTTCATGAGCTCCAGGTCGTCTCTATGTTGGAAATATACATCCCCAATTTATCAACAGATGCCTATTAACTGCAATAGTATTCTATGTGACTGACGCTTTCCATGTGCTTTTATTTTCGTATAAAAGTCATGGGTTTGTTGGCCAGAACTCTGAGCTTTATGGTTTGAATATTAGTACAGTTGATTCGGGTTACTCCAGCTTCAGAGTTAAAAATATAATGCTTTTCCATTAGTTGTGATACTTTACCATCCCTGTTTTCAGATAAAAACATTATATAAAATTAAGTGTTTAAAAAATTAAACTACTTAATTTGCCTGTTTGCACTGAAATTATTTTCTGATTTAAAGATGCTTGTTTTCCATTTCAAGTTTTGCTTAAACAATAGTTCAGATGGCAAAACAGGAAGATATTACTACAGTTCATTAAAAATTTTGTTTTCCTTTTTAGTTGTCCTGTCCTAGCACATTTTTCCCCTGGCTGAACAATGCTGAAAGGATTATATATTTATGTTGGAATATTTGCTTATCAGACGCTATTTTCTTGCACGCTGTACACACATGTGTACAATTAGCTGTACACCCTATGCTTTTTCTTACACTTAAAATATATGTCTGATCATGGCTAGTACTTTTCATTTACAATCTGTTATATTGTATTCCGTCACTTTCCCATGAGCTGTTTTCTCCTAAATGAATCTCTGTAGCACCTCATCAAATGTCTCTTGGAAATCTAGATGTATCAGTTCTATTCCTTTTATCATTTGTCACTATATTATCTTCAAAACAACATCAGGTAAATTTGTAAGAAAAGGAGAGATTTGTTTGAATGCCCCAGTTGTCACCTTTAAGCCCCTGTGTCTGTAAGTTACTTTCCACTGCTTCCTGCACAGGCAGCTTTAGTAGTTCTGAAACCACAGAGGTTAAGCTAAGTGGCCTGTGATACTCTGAATCTTATCTCACTTTCTTTAAAGTGGAATGGCATTTGCTACTTCCTAGTCATTATGAATCTCTTTCTATCTTCTGTTAAACTATTAAAGTATCTGTCAGAAGGCATCTGTTCTGCCCTTTTTTTTTAATTGGTATATTCGCTCCTCTAAAAACCAAGGAGGACTTCAAGACATTTTTTTTAGTTATGTTTTATTACTACATAGTTTAGTATAGGTAGCATTATTTTATCTAATAAAACCTGGCAATTTTTCCCAAGTCAGTTGTTCCCTTATTAACAACTAATATGCCATGAATATACGAATACAGATGGAGCTAAACTGTGCTGTCATTTTACACTGAAATAAATCTGGAGTTTAGGTCCTTTCTTCAGTGGAGTTGCTTTAGATTTACATTGGTATAACACAGAGGAGATTTAAGCTCATGAATTCCTGATCTCTCCTGTTAACCAAATAAGACCATAATTCCTTTAAGGGATCCTGGTAACTTTACAGACATATGCACCTACTTATGTGAGTGGTGAATGTAAAAGGAACAAAGGAAAATTAGTTTAAGCTAAATTACTGTGTCCATTTCCTCAAACTGCCCATGAGCCTATCATAAAAACTATTTTCTATCTAGGCTAACCTTACAAGATGTTAAACTACCAGGAAGATTGGGAAAACAAGATTGTGAAGTTGCCTTCTCTTTTGGTTTAATTAGCTTAAGACAGTGGTCACAGTGTACAGGCTGAAGAATCAAGTCTTTTTGTTGCTGTTTCATTTTATTCCACCAACTTGGAGGTTAATGGTTGCCTCTTTTAGTTGCTTTGGTTTTGGTGCTGTGATGGAGTGAAAAGGAATGGGATCAGGCCTTGTCTGTCACTTTTTTCTCCTGCTGACAAAGGTGTGAGAAACTTGGCTCATATTTGTGACTCATTACAGAGGAGGGGTATTGGGCTATAAATTGATGAGTCTGATGAGGGCTTCAGCAAGCCTCTATTTCTTTCTGAAGGTGGCCTTGTCATTGATCCCTATACTAATGCAGAGCACTGCATGGAGGATGCCTAAGATAAAACAGCACCTGTCACCCACTTTTCTCTTACCTCTAAAACACATCTTTCTGTTAACTTCAGTGTCTGTGTTCTCTTTCTAGATGGCCTGGTGCCCCCTGATGGAGCAGTGAGTCCAGATTTTTTCAGTGATTATCATCTTCAGAATGGAGATCTAGTTGGGCAACATCCCTTCTCCAGCGGGTAAATTACTTTTTGGAAATTGTTTACATAATCAGAATGTTGCTAATTCTGTTTTTTTGTTGCTGCTTAATTTATGTTTTTCAACTCTAATAATCTTTTTTTCTGCTATAAACTTTAATAGGCTTACATTCTAAAAGTATACTTGGGTAAGTGATTTATATTGAGAAATATGATTTCCATAAAACTGCTATAAAAATTCATGGTGTTTCTTCACGCTGGAAAATCCAGTCAAATGCCATTTGAACTAGACTTTTTTTTTACACATTAACGTACACAGAATGTTTTTGATAGCATTCCAAAGGCAATAAAATAGAATAGAAAACTAGAACACACAACTAATTGCATGTTAAGACAATTATTCAAACATTATTCAGGCATCATTGTTTGGAAATGTCTAAGGAGAAACTTGAGATTTTGATTAACTAGCAAAATTATTTCCAATATTCTTACATTGTTAAAATATATGTTTCTCAGCTGCCAATATTATTTCTTGATTTATTTTATTATTTAAAAAAAGTCTTCCCAGCAAACTCCCAGCTTGAGTACTGATGTTATTTGCTTTGAAAATCTGGATGAGGAGTGAAATATGTCTGCTTTTTGGCTTGATTGGGTGATTTCTGGATGTATGGGAGATGTTTCCTTTAATTGACCTTCTAATCAACAACCTCTCTTCCTCTGAATTTTAGCAAGCTGTTCCAGCTTGCATCTCTGGACTGACTTCTCTCCCAAGGTCAAATTGGAATGCTCCCATTTCAGAGAACAGGATCCCATTTCTATCGTCTATGGCTTTTGTAGGGCTTAAGAAATGCTGTATTGTGTGTGGGATACATATGCCTGATTATGATAGATGGGTATGGATGGTGTATCTCCAATAAAAGTAAAGATTTCACATGTTAAATGATCAACTTACAGAATTCACTTCCATTAGAAATTACCGAAATGTGCCCAGTACTGTGGTTGAATAAATTCTTCAAAGGAACAGGATTGTTTCAACTATTAATAGCTATAGTAATATATATATAAAGTGTGAATAGCTCCCAACAACTTTATATAAGGGTCAGAAAAAGAGTTCTTTCCTCCCCCATCTTTTCATAGTTGGCTCGATACATACCTAAAATGAATCAGAAGATAAGATAGTATGTTGGACAGGGAAGTGGTCTAATTTTGTTTCTCTAAAATCATGCACTAAGAAGCAAAAGAGAATTGCTAAGTGATTCCTTAGAGAAAAAGCAGAACCTTTTAGAAAGCTTGTTCTTTTCAATTTCCTTCAGTCTGCTGTATACCTTCACACCTGAAGTTTTGCATGCCAGGGAGGTTGATGCTGCTCTTTAAGGAGCATCACATTTCTGTCAACCTCTTCCTTACATTCTGACAGGACAGGTATTCCCAGTATGGATTGAAACTTAAACAGCTTCCGAAGCATGACCCTGCTAAGATTAGTTTGCATAATTGCTTTTAATAATGGGTGCCATCTTTAAAAATGTATTTAAAAATGAAATTACTTCTAATAGACCATCTGATGTTATGTTGCTTATTTACTTCTAAATACATAGCTTGCTTATTGAAGCACACTTGTGTTGGAGAAGTGGAAGGAGAGGTAGGTGAGTTAAATGTAGCTCTTTGGAACTGTAATGTGTGGCTTGCAGCTGCCCTTCACTTTTAATATAAAGGTGTAGTTAATAGGGTTGACAGGTTTCATCATGCACTAATCTTGATCAGCCAGGATCTAGATGGAGCATTATAGGGATACATAGTCCCCAGTGGCTGTACAGTTCTGCTAAAGAAGCGGGTTGCAGTCTGCATTGTTTTCAGTAAAATAGGAGTAGCCCCAACAAGATACTGTTGGTTTGCCAATGAGGCCCTCAGGGAAAGTTTGGCTATCCTTGAGCTAAACTATGGTAGACTGCCAAACATTGAATTTCAAGCTTGTCTTTAAAGATATGTATTTGTAAGATTTTTTAAAATCTGATTTTCCTTCAGCTAAAATGAATGGTAAAATACATTGAGTATGTTTTTAAAATAAAAAATAAATATTTGTAGAACTTCCTTGTAACCAACTGCAAGGCATTTAAGCTTAGAGGCCCACTTAGATGAAAAGGGCAAATACAAATAGCAAAACTTGGTACCTAACCTTGTGCAGAGCCCAGGTAAATCAGTTGAGATTTCCATTTAGAATTCTGTTTCTGGGAGTGCTTTTTTGCTATGATCGCCATGGAATTATTTGTGATACAAGGAGACAACCTAATTGGAAACAGCATGTACTGTTGCAACTGTTCTGTCACATTTGCAACACAGAGAGACTGGATTGTTTGATAGAATAGACACCGGCAGTTGGACAGTGAATCCCAGTTTTCAGACGTGTATCATTATCGTTTTGAACTTCTTGGCGCCAGAAGCCAGGATTTCCTGATGCTTAGAGCTAATGTAAAATGCATTAGTGCTCCAAGGCATGAGCAACGGAATTGCCAGTCCCATGAGTTTGGAGATTCAAGCCCTTCTACCTCTCCAATTCTGAACTGGTGTTGGAAGGTAAAGCCGTTCTTGCTAGAGAAGCTAATTAAAAATAATAGCAGAGAGTCGGGGTTCTTTTTATGTATTATAGTGTAGATTTCATCCATACCAAAACATAATTCCGAGGGTATTTTTATGCTTACATTTTAAAGCTAACAAGAACCTTATGGGAAGGATTATTTTTAAACCAGTCCCAGCTTTTAATAAATCAGGAGTTTTGTTATAAAACTGGTTTGGTTTTCTTTTATTAATTAGATCAAGTTTTCACAAGCTAATTTAAAAAAAAAAAAGAAGAATTGGACCATCATCATTTCCCATATAACTTATTAGCTAGTAGATAATGTTAGTTACTAGAACAAGGAATGGCTGACTGCTGAGTTGGTGCATATTTCTGTGTGCTTGGAGTCTGTTTGCCTCCGGTATTTTTCTATTTGTTATGCTACCTTCTCTTGGTTTGGGCTTTTACATTTGGCTTAAAATGTTCTGTAATAGGAACAAGTGTTTAATTGGCTGTGGGGTTCTGAGATAAGTTTGTCTATGAAAACTGAGAGCATCTTTTGAAAGTTGAAACAAGGGGACTGCCTTAATGTTGAGTTGCTGCCATTTGGCTTGGAAGAATTCAGTCATCTGTTCTTCTTTCTGTTGCAGTATGAGAGAAAATATTGATATGCATAGAGTTTTCATTTTACCTGAGGTGTTTCCTGCCATAGCCAAAAAGAGAAGGAACTTGCAGTCTATATACATTATTCAGGCAGACCAAAAAGGACCTCCCTTTTTCCCCCAAAGATTTTTTCAATATAAGTTAGGTAGTTGCATGAGAGTAGTAGATCCAGTTGGTTTGGATATTTGCAAAGGAAAAAAAAAATACTTTTGGTGTTACACGAGTCATGATTGCCCATAGTTTCACTAGATGGGTAGGAGTTTTTGTCAACGAAATGAACCTACTATGTTTTAAAATGGACACAACTGGGCTCAAGCTGCTTCAAGTTTCCACTGTAAGTTGCTCCGGATAAAGCCTGCATCAAGAGACCCAGCTTGATGCTTATAAGGCAATATAAGGAAGCACCAGCTTCCTTATATTAAATCATTACAGTTATCATACTGCATGGAGCAAACAGAGACAAATAGGCATACATTTAACTAAGAGATAAGGGCATATTCTACTTCTGGAATATCATCCATGTTTTCACCAGTGTAGTATAGGAAAACAGAAACGGGACCCTCCAGTCAAAGCTGGGTTCAAGGCTGCAGCTGTCCCAGCCTCAGTGAAGCCTTTGGGACTGTCGAATATGTACAACCCGATAGAAAAACAGCTACAATAAAAGAAAAGTGACTTCCCTCCCAGTGCTTATCTCCTGTGGTCTGGGCCTTGTCCCGGTCAGCACAAAGGCTGCAGAGCTGGAGCCATTGTGGAGTCTAATTCAAGTAGGGAGGTCAGTAATTCAGGCCAGCAACTTAGCAGGAGTCCAAAATGGATTAGACATTTATAGGACAGACATTGCTTTTTTGACCATTGCTCCAAGTAATAATATGAAGAATAACAAGATCTGCAGTTCCAGTGGGCTGGAAAAAGAAATTTAAGGGATGTAAACAGTCATATTTCAAGGACATAACCTGTCCATTATGAGGCTTTTTTTTGTTTCTTACTCTTAAGTATCTAGTACTGACCACTGTCAGAGACAAAAATACTGGGCTAGGTAGCCCAACTTCTATGTGCAAAGTATAAAATACTGGGAAGGACACCATAGGGGCTTGTGGGCTTAAACATCACAGCACTGCTTCAGCTGCCTGATGGTTTGTTCACAGTGCTACCTTGTTCATCACTTCATCCAGAAGTTTCAGTAAACAGAACCATTGTTGATGTCAGTGCCCATCTGGTTGAAGGAAAAAGAGGTGGAACATAAAGACAGAACCGTATTTGTTATACTCATGTCACCATAGCAAAGAAATGTTATACAATACTTGCATTCACATAACAAGTTACTCAGCAAAGAAGCAGATAATCATCTTGGCAAATGTTATGGCCTTCATTGTAGTGAACCATGATACTTTAATCAGAATAGCCTACAAATAAACATGAGACACGTCAGGTGAGTTTGTGAATTGTTGACCTCGGGTTAAAGATCTATCTTGTTTTCCAAACTCTAAACAGGCATTTTTTAATTGGATTTATGTCATTGTGCATGGTATATTAAGGAAAGTTTTTCTTTAATATGCTATTCAGTGAAAGGGTGATAAAACTATTGATACTGTATATTCATTTTCCAGAAAGGTTTTTTGAAGCAGCATGCAAGTTGATCTCACTGAACTGAGGGAGTTTTTGACAACTTGTATTCAGGCTTCTTCATTGCCTAGAAGTAGATTTTTCTTATTAGATTTCCAGCTTTAAGGCCCTTACAGCATCTTATAGAAGCAAATGAGTATTAGGCACAGATTTGAAATTAATTATTAAAATCCAAATTCATGACTCCTGGTTCCTGATACCTTTT